AAACTAAGGAAGTATCTATCATGTTATCATAATATTCTTTATTTACCCAGGCACTTCAATCACTAAAAGGGGGGGATTATAATATCCTTGGAGTGGTATTGGAGTCTCAGGATTTAAACCCATATCAACTTTTTATCCAAATCCCAAGCAGAGGCTATTTTCTTAGACTTCTCCTCGGATGTTAAATCCTCAATAATAGCCTTCTTATTACAATGCACATAATTATTTTCCGCTTTTCATTTAAAAAACCAGATTCATTTATTAAAACGAGATATTAGAATTAGTGTTTTTTTGTTCTTTTCTTGCGTAATTTCACCAAAAATAATCAACCGAAGAAAAAGCCGATAATCACTCCAACAAACATACTCGGTAATCCTACGCTAACAAATGCCTTCTTTCTTTGGACACTAACATCCTGTTTTTCAGCACACTTTTTACACACTGTTCAATAACCATAACCATGAAATTCCTCACAAAGAGTGCAGTAATAAGACCTATCTCGATCCATTTTTTCAAGAGGACAAACGCAACTGTTTTTCTCTTTCTGAATTTCAAAAAAACAATTATCGCAAACTCCATTAAAAAAATATTCGCGAGACTGAGAACATCTCATGCAACCAAATAAACTTTTGCCTTCACTTCCCGGTTTACTCAAATTTTCATAAAGGCACTTAATCCTCCCTAATTTTCTTGTCCTCCCACAGTCGGGGCAAGTTTTACCCCGACATTTATTAAAAAGGATAAAATAGCCGGGATGTTGCCCCTCATCAAAACCCTTATTACACTTAGAGCAAACGTAAGTTTTATTATACTTGCTAATAACTACGAAATCCTACAAGGAGGAGAGGGAGGTCTTTTATATTCAACATTAGAGACGGTTTGTAGTTTAGTAGTGCAAATAATTTCATCAAAATCAAGTCCTTTGGGAATTGCATTAACATTAATATCTTCTCACAACTGCTTTTTTATCTTTTCCTCTTGTTTTCAATCTCTTTCTCCTGACGAACACTTAACCACTTTTATTCGCCCATTCTCCATTTTTCTTAATTTTTTCCGTATTCAATCCCTAACATAATCTGTGCCACCCTCTACTTTCAAAGTCCTGGTTAGGTCTCCATCTACCTCAAAACGAGTTCCATATTCAGTTTTGTATGTTATTCCAATGGAAGTTATTATTCCACTTCTATCTGTTGCTATACTATTTGGCATATTTTTATAAATTCTTTGTATTTTTTATGTTTATGTTTTGCTAATTTAAGACAGTTTAACACTGTTTTTTTCAAAAGTTTTTTTACTTTGTATTTAAAAGTTGCCTAAATTTATCCTCTTTTCAAGTTGCCACTATTGTTCCGTGATTGCGGTGAATGTGTTGATTTGTCATGATTTTTCTGCTTCATAGATTTTTTAATATAGTTTTATATAATTTTTTAAACCTTCTCTTTAACCCTACTAATTTTATTTCATTCAGCAATTTCTTTATTGTGGGCTTGGACTTGGTTAGCAAACAAAATATCACGGCGTCAAATTTTAAACAATTTCATAATCAGTATGCTTATTTATTTTATTTCTTTATTGTATGTTAAAATTGGTAGAAAGTATCAAACGAGGGAATAAGATGATTAATTTGTATGCTCGGCAAAAAGAAAGATTACTATTTAGATTTTTTAACTTCTTTTTTTCTTTGTTTGTGGGAGGGAGGAGGAATTTCTGGGAGAGAAGAAGTAGTATTTCCTAAGTTATCCACCTTCGCAATTATATTATTTTAACGTTTAGCCAGTTTTGTTAAGTAATCAGAAAATGGAGATTTCTTTCCTGAGCCAATTTTTTTAATTTCTTGAAACTCTCTTGTTTTAACCGGCGAGCCATATTTTCTGACTTATCGAGCATTTTACCTATCTCCGAGAGTTTGTAATTTTTGGAAAATAATGATAAATAATTTGCAACCAGTGGTAAACTACGGATTTTTTTTTCTTCTGGGGAGTATTTTTGGAGTAATTCGGGATTGGATTTCTCACTCAATTTCATCTTTTTTTTTAATTCTTTTTTTTCTTCTTCGGTCGCGAGATAATAAATATCCAGTAAATTAGTGGGTTTTACCTTCGAGAACAAGCGAGTCAACAAAATCGCTTCCCGATTTCCCAAGGTGTTAATTAAATTGTTAGTTTGAATTATAGTATCTTGGTGCCGAACCTGATCAGCAGTCAACTCAGCATTTTCTTCATCGTGTAAGGTCTCTACTAGTGAATAAGATTTACTCTCTTTATCTTCATTTTGATAATTACTATCATAATAAATTACACTTTTTTTTTCTTTAATTCCGGATCCCTGACTAATGAATTGATTTTTGATAATATAACTTTGGATATATTGCTTAATTCAATAACCGGCATAAGTAGCAAAACGATTTTTGCTGTTTAAGTCAAATTTTTCAATGGCTTTGGGTAAGGAGGAAATTCCTTCGCTGGTCAACTCATCATGGTCAATTTTTCCCCCAAAAGAGGAATAGCCCTTAACAATATACTTAACTAAGTTTTGATTATAATGCAGCAGGAAACGAATGGCTTTCTTGCCGGCAGCAATTTTTTTCGCACCCATTTTTTCTAATTCTTTCTCCTTTTTTTTTAGTTCAGTTTGGAGTTTTTCAATCTCCTCTGGCATCGTTTTCTTATTTTTTATTTTCTTAGTCTTGGCAGCAATTTCTTTTTGCAAACTACTGATGGCCGAGAAAATTGCCACCACTGGTTTGGCCGCTTTCAACAATTCTTTTTCTTTTTTTTGTTTGAGAGTAAAGGATTTATTCATAGTTTAATAGGAATTTCTTAACGTTGTCTAATTCTTGTAGTGCTGTGTCAATAATTTTTCCTTTTTGGCTGGGCGGGGAGGAGGTGGGGAAAATTGCATCATAATTGTTATTAGTTTCGTACACAGGATAATTTTTTGAATAAGAATTGTTAAAATAGGAGGATATATAATAATTATAGATGTCATAGTAACTGTCTCGGTTGACTTTGCTGAAAAAAAATTGAACTTTTTCGCTAGTAAATAATCAAAAAATTCGTTCCTGGGTACACCAGTAGATTATTTTTTTTTCTTTTTGCGCAATTAACTCCTGGCCATAAATAATTTGGCAATAACGAATATTGAAGGCGGGAAAATTTCACTGGATAAAATGGGGTTCTATTTCTTCTTTTTTTCAACCAGTTAAGGCACTTATTTTTGTGATTAAGAAATCATAGATATTGGATTTGAACTTCCGAAAAATGTTGGCTACTTCATTAATAAAACGATTAGTTCTTTGCGGATTATCCTGGACTTCTCATTTGGTAAAATAGTAGTTAAGAATAAATAAATAGGGATTGGCTCTGTTTTGGAGTATAGTTTGAACCCTTTCACGGTCCTGCTGACGACAAATTTCGTCGGGATCGCCCGGATAATCATTCCTTATTACTTCACAATCAACCTC